TTCACAGTGCCTCACACAGAGTAAGCACTAATAAATAACTACCATCTGCTTAATAAGCTGCTAATAATAAGAGATATTCCTAAAGATTCATACTGCATTAGTACTCTTAAAAATCACTGTCATCTTTGTTTACAATATTGAGTTATTTTCTGCAGGCTAACAGAATAACAGTTAATGTGTTTTGCATGTCTATAAATGTCATCAGACAGGACAGGGATTTGGCATCAGACAAAATGTAATTCCTTACTAGTTAAATATATGTTTACTTTATCTTTTTTTCACTCTATTCCCACTGAGTTATCACCATAAGTATTCAGATTAACTGTAAAATGGAGAGAGTAGGATGTGAAGAGAACAAATGTGATTTCTGTGAATGAGTTTCCAAACCATCACTTGACCTACTATGTTAGTAGTGACAGAATTATGAGTAAAGAGCCCCAAAGGATCACATCAAAGTTGGATTTTGGACATTTTCCTAGTCCTGTCTTTTCCAATCTGAGAAAAATGCAGGAAAAAAAATCAATCTAACGACATTTATAATAAGACATTATTGAAATTAACTAAGTAGCAAATTCCAAATTATAGAGAACTTATTCATTATATTACTAAGTACCATATAAAATATTTGTTGAATATCAGTAGTAAAGATGAGAGTAGTAGAAATAAATGACATCCAGAGGTAACATAGTTTATTTTGATGTAGAGTAGTCTAGGTTTGTTATTATACAAGGTTTAAGAGGCCAGCAAATACTCAAAAGGAAATAAGGGAACAAATGTTAAATATAAATATGAGTCAAGCAAGATAAAGTGGCCCCACTGTCCAATAGTGCAGATAATCCACAGTATGCATGGTTTATTCAGTAATAACTATGACTTATCACCTTTCAATTAAATATACTCTAATCATCGTCCATAAGTGTTCCTGAAAATATTTCATTATACAACCTTCTTGACCATATTAATGACATGTAATCTTTAGTCATTTTTTTATCTTTCTTTCTCTTTATGATGGATAACTTATATATTTAATAAGTTATCAAGTTATATTCATCTCCTCAATTTGGAAACATCTATATCTGTCTCCTCTTGCCACCAGTCTAGTCCAAGCCTCTATTACAGCACCCTGGAATTAAAACAACAGATTTTCCTATCTCCCCATTAAATCTACATTGTATGGGTCCACTGTATTAATATTTCTATATATTCATATTTTAACTTCCCATCTCAAATATCTTCACTGACTCTTAACCATATTCAGAAAAAAATTTCTATCAATTCTTGTATATACAACTCTCTATAATTTGCTTCCATAATAGTAGTCTAACTCTAACACCCAGCACCTACCAAACATGAGCCCTACATTTGAGTTAGAGTGTCTTTCCTAGTATTGTATGGTCAATTTCATTTTGAAACCTTTCCTTGTGCTTTCTTCCCTCACTGTAACTCACCAACTCTCTTCTCTACATAACTAAATCTAATCATCCCTTAAACCCCTGCTTCTATCCCTTATCCTCCAAGCCATTCATTTGTTGTTCAAAAATATGTCTGCTGATTTTGTTTAGCTGAGAAATGGTTAATATGTGAATTTTTGTGTCCTTTCTCAAATTAAGATATGGCTCATATTTTATTCTTATTATCTATATCTCTTTAAGTAGTCAGTGAATTAACTTGACGTATACAATGGGGCTCATAGCTTAAAAATTGTTACCCAAGTTCCCATCAATTTAAATTTAACAAATACATACAATTTATTTCATATGTAGTTTTATGCCTAGACAATCTTTTCTCTAAATCCCCAGCCTACAATTTGCTTTATAAAAAATTACTAAGCAAATCTATCTTTCAAAGGTTAACACCTTTGTATACTAAATACATACACACACATATGTATTTAATTACACACACATAAAGTTCAGCTCAACCTTATATTTTAATTATTACGTTTTGAGTGAGTTCCCTTTTATTTAAGTTTTATTATTATAAAATCATCAAGTATGTCTGTTTGATACCAACAATTACTAAGAGATTCAGAATATTCCTGAGCATCAAGACAACCACTGCTTTTTCTGGAATCAAAGAATAGTCATGAACATCCTGTTAATACTAAAGCCTTCTCTTGATTTTCCAGGATGGCAATATGAAGCATTTAAATCTCAGAGAAGGATGTTCCTCACATTCTTTCAAGTTTTCACTTCTGTTACTCAAGGCTTTCAATTATATAACAATATGAGGTACCTAGTAAAAATGTCTAGATTAACATAATTTAATTCAATATAAATATGTTCAACAGGGTCTCCTAGAATCGAATTTTGTTATTGTATTTTCAATTGGAAAATGTTAATAAATCAAGAACTGAAGATGCACAACAGGCAAATGAGATAAAATTAAATCATGTCCTATTGTTTTTAAAAATGGTAAACTTATGCTAATAGTTACAGAAATGTAGCCATTATGTTTGTAGCCACACTTCTGAATGCAATTACATGCAATTTCTACCATCATGCTGGGAAAATGGTACTTAAAGAGAAATCTTTTTTAAAAAAAATCAAATGAAAGAAACCGCATGAGCCCACAGACAATTATAGCATTTGTATTTTCAAGAAAAGAAAAATTTCTTGCAGGCTGTGATGGCTCAAGCTTAGCACTTTGAGAGGCCAATACCAGAGGATCTCTTGTGGCCAGGAATTTGAGACCAGTCTGGGCAAGAGGGAAACCTTGTTTCTATAAAAATTCAAAAATTATCTGGGTGTGGTAGCTTGCCTCCATAGTATGAGCTTCTAGAGCTACTAGGATTGCTTGGGTCCAGAAATGTGATGTTATAGTGAATTGTGATAACACTACTGCATTCAAGCCTGAGTGACAGAGAAAGACCCTGTCTCAAAAAAAAAAAAAAAAAACTTTTTTAATTTAAAATGAAAGAATAAAAAACTTTGTCCTTTGTAAATTCTATGAACTAAAACTAAAATACAGTTTATGACAGTTTTGTAGGATCAAAAAGGTCTGAGGGATTAAAGAAATAAAATGACAGAGTTTTAAAATATCTATATTGTTATATATCTTAATGGATGCCTGTGACCTCAGGCTTCTGAATTCCTATCTATAGAAAAAGAATAATAATCTAATTAAGAGGAATTAACTAATGAAAACACATTCCTAAAATGAGGTTAAAATCCTTCCAAAATGCTAAAGGAGAGCTCTTAAATGGGCAGACGTAATAAAATTCTGATTGCTTCTTTGAATTACAAATTTGTGTATATTTTTTATTTTTCATTGAATAAGTACAACCAATTTAAAAGTATAAAGACAGTACAAATGCATTTCAAAATGGCAAATTATAAAGTGCACTGCCAAAGTGCTATAATTATTCTTATCCCCAAGTATCCATATGTAAACAGTACTGAGTTACAATATTTGAAAGCAAATAATGGTGTTTGCTAGCAGAACTACATGGTGAAAAACTTTAGAAAAGTAGTACTTCTCCTTAGCATCTTATATAAAATATCCCCAATATTATCTGTTTCATATACAATCACATTGTCATCTGAATCCAGAAAATAACTTCTCAGTGCACATACAGACTTGCAATAATACAGTGACTGGAAAATGAGCGTTGAGAAGAATGACTGAGAGACAGTGACCACAAAAGAGACTTCATTAATTAAAAAATAAATAAAAAGTGATGCATGGCAAGGATTAGTGCACACATGCAAGAAAATATCAAGTGGAGAGGAAGCAGAGAAAGCAGAATGTAACAGGCATCAATTAAGGTGGAAAAGAGCAAATGGTTAAAAACACAATGGTCATTGATGTGGAAGAGTAGAAAAGATGTAGAAATATTCTCTCCTTTTAATGAATTATATATACACACATAATTAATAGTTACAAGTGAAATTCATTTAGAATTTGAGTTATTAAATTTTGATATGAACTATAGTTTAGATTTTGCCACAACTACGTACATACCTCACAGGATTATGAGTATTAAATATGATAGTTGTAAAAGGTGCTACAGAAAGTATAAAATGCAACACACATACTCATGTAAGATAGACGGTTATTTACTAGAAACGTAGACAAAAACCTCTGGGAGTGGACCAGCAAAGAGCTCTCCAGGGCATAAAGGGGAAGAAAATCTCACTCTTGTCCATTTCTAGGTTCCCTTGGAACATTAGGCTCTACAGCACCTGCATGGGCTGGTTTTCAACGCAGAGCAAAAACATTAGCAAACTAATCTAATGGACATGTGCACAATGTCACACAAGAATTATGGGGAGAAAAATCCTTTCTAATGTATGGAATCAATAAGTTTCCTTCCCCACTTTTTAACTTTCACAAATGCTTATTGCCTGCAAAAGTGTCATAAAGAATTATGCTAATTTCTCTCCTGTACGGAAGGAAGATAAGGGGCAGTAAAGGTAACAAAGATTCACAAAAGCATGCTTGAGACATGGAAAATTTTCTCTTCAATAACAGCTATGAGATTAGAAAAATAAGTCTAAGATGTATTTACCAGATAGGTGACCATTTTACAGCTAGAAAACTGAGGCTTAGCTAGACTCAAAAACTTATTTAAGGCCACTTATTCTACACTACAAAGCCAGTATTTCACTCCAGGTCTCTGTTATGAAAAAGCCATGATATTTTCCACAACAAAACACTACCTCCCATCATAAAATTGAATGATAAATGGGATAATCAGAATGATAAATGGGTAAGAAGCACCAACCAATATTTTAGCTTTTCCTTTTAGCTCTATTACCAAATTTTAGAAGTATTTTGGCACTATATAAAATTTCCATTAGATTTTTCATGTAAAACACCAGTTCTTCAATCTCTGATCATTTAATGTTTGAAGAACTCAAAACCTTTTTCATTACATTGAAAGCACACATGCAATAATTAATCCTTGTAAAATGCCCTGAATTTTTCAAGAAAGAGTACAAACTAATGAAAACACAAAGATTAAAAGACTTTTAAAAACAATCTATTCAAACCAACTAACTTATAAATAAGGAAATTAAGGCTCAGATACGTTAAGTGACTTGCTGAGGGTCACACAACTGGTCAGTTTCAGACTTATGATCAGAATTTCAATCTCCAAACTTGTAGTCCAGAGCTGTGTTCTTTTGAAAACCAATAATAAATAACTGCATTTAAACAGTCACTCCAGAATATCCTCAAAATCGGTTATAATAAAAGTAACCCACATGGTGAGGAATGTTGTTTCACACCAAAAATGAACTTCCAGTCACTGTGATAAAATCTGTTTCTTTCTGAGAACCATGGGTCCCTGCTGGATTGGAGAGTCCAAACTGGGTTTCTTCCTCCTGTCCCAAGAAGTCAGAGTCAGGATGTACATTCCATTCCATTTTAGTTGGTGTCAGTAGTTCTGAGACACTGTTTTCACAAAGGGTGCTTGAAGGAGTCAGAGCATCTGTGTCCACTGTTAGCTTATTGCTGGGTGTCAAAGCCTGGGGCTCTGCACTAGAATTTTTCATAGCCCAAGAGCCCAGTGATCTCAATGGCCCCACACTTACACTTGAGACATCATCCACATCTAAGGGGCTCTGCTGAAAACCAGTAGCTGCTGTTCCAAAAAAGAGAGAGGTATCCAGATTTTGAGGAAGGTCACTGGTGGCCATCAAGGCCTCAGGGTCCATGGCCTGCCCTAAGGAATTACCATTACCAGCAGGAAGGTTCCCTGCCAGAGTTGAGCCCACAGAAGTCACATCAATGGTCAAGATTCCAGAGTTCACCAATGCTGTGTCTAGCACTGCAGCAGAACTACAATCAGGCACTTCAGAGAAGAGAGACACTATCTCTGCATCACTGAAATCATGCTGTCCCTGCAGAGTGAGTTCACTGCTGGGTGTAAGAGAATTTGCTGCTGCTAGCTGAACTAAGAGATCCTGACTGATGTTGTGCCTTTTGGCCATGTGGGTCTTCATGCTGTGCTTGGATGTGAAGAGCTTATTACAGGTGGAGACTGGGCAGCGGCTCTTCCAAGTGTCCACATCCTGCAGGTGTTTCTTGGAGTGGATGTAGAGACTACTGCGAGCGGAGAACCTGGCACAACAGCCTTCCACAGGGCACACAAAAGGCTTTGTGCCCAGGTGGGTTATGCTGTGGCCTTTCAGATGCTCAGCCCTGGTGAAAGATTTCCCACAGCCTTCCACAGGGCACATGAACCTCCGGTCATCTTCGTGCTTCCTTTTGTGCCTTAAGAGTTTGGACATGCTGGTGAAGTTCCATCCACAGCCATCAAAGTCACAAAGGAATGGCCTCTCACCGGTGTGGCTTCGCAGGTGAATTTTCAGCCTACAAGCCTTGTCATATTGTTTGCTGCAACCAGGAAAGGAGCAGGAAAAGAGTTCCTGCTCCCTGAAATGGGCACGGTTATGAGAAAACAGGGCACTCACTGTAATAAATGTCTTCTTACAGCCAGAAAATGCACACTGGTAAGGCCTCTCGGGCTCGAAGTGGCTGCGCTGATGGGTGCTGAGTTTTGCCTGTGTGGGGAAGCTCTCCTCACACACCTTGCATTTGAAGGAGTTCTCCTGCTCGTGGCCCTTCATGTGTGCTTTGAGGTTGTACACAGTGGTGAAGCTCTTGCCGCAGCCGTGCACTGGGCAGCCAAAAGGCCGCAGTTTGTCATGCGACTGCAGGTGCCTCTTGAGCTTGTAAGAGGTGGTGAAGGTCCAGCCGCAGCCACCCAGTGGGCACTTGAAGGGTCTCTGGCCCTGGCTACTTCTATGTGTCAGCAGGTGCACCTTAAGTTGGTGCTTCTTGACGAAGGTTTGCCTGCACTGTGCCTCAGGACAGAAGTATAGCATCATGCCTGGGCCAGGGCCCAGCGAACCGCGGGGACCCAGGGCAGCAGTGGTGCTCTCAGCCTCCTCTTCTGACGCCTGGGCAGGCGAGGATTCAGCCAGCTCAGCCAGTAAGAGGTCTGGAGGTGGCTCTGGGCAGTCCGGCTGCGTGATGTGTGTGGGTAACCCAGCTTGCTGGGCGATCAGACCCACAGGCTGAGAGACAGGCCCAACCTGGTGCTCCCTGGAGGGTGGCGGGGGAGTGGCCAGGGTGAGGACGCCATTCTCAAAGCACAACAGCAGGTCCTGATTGTGGATACTGACGCTGCCTGAGAAGGCTGCAGCTGGGCCAGGGTTTGGGGCGGAGATCAGGGACGGAGAGGGAACTGTGGACAGCCAGAAGGGGCCCAGCAATGGGCAGCCCGCGGGGTTCAAGCGGCTCTCTCCCCTCTGGGGCCTTAGGCCCACCTCAGCCTCGTCCCTCCACACCGACCCAGCGGCCTTACCAGCGTGTGCAGTCTCCGAGTCGCCACCCACAGCGTCAAGCGGTACCAGGAAGAAGTCATTGCCGCCGCCGCTAGAGTGATCCGGCCTCAGAGCCAACAGGCTCAAGCCAGCGCCCCCTGAGGCGGTGTAGGCCTCCCTGCGCCGTGGACAGAACCCGCCATCTTGGCGGCCCCGGAACAGCAGGAGGCGGTGCGTGGGTGCCTGGCCAGCCGGCGGGTCAGGGCCTTGGTCTACCCCGCCACCGCCCGCGGGGCTACTGCCACAGACGCCCGGTCGTGTCCCGTGAGCGGAAAGCAGCCTCGGGATTTCCATCTCAAAGTAGGTGAGGCTCAGCTGGAACCCGAGCCGCGGAGGAGGTGCGACCCCGCCTCCTGCAGCTGGCCTGAACACGTTCCTGAAAGAGAAAAAAAAAAGTGCAATGCGCAGAAACTGGCCCTATCAGATATGAAAACGTATTTAACGACACAGTGATTTAAATATTCTAGTACTGGGTCTCTGGAACAAAATAGAAAGCCCAGAAACAGAGCCCAGTATAAATGAAAATGTTCCACAATTAATATTAGTAATTAAAGACGTCTCCTTAGGTAATGGTGACATGACAGCTAATTCAGTAACGATGCTGAAATACCTCACTAGCTGTCTGCTAAAAACAATTTAAATCCATACTTTGTCGTATATACCCAAATAAACACAATCCCAGTGCTAAATGCGTTGCTTAGTATTTTTCACGGGTTAAGAAATGTCTTCTGGCTGGCTGGATTGTTGGATGAGAGGAAATTCCTGAGAGAATAAGTTGTCTTTATATGTCACCATTAACTCACCATAGCACTAGCTTTTCTACTGGAAATGTCCTACACTATCACCACCCTCTAACACCACCACCACCACCACGCCCCCACAACCCCCCAATTTCCATACTCAGAATTGTCTTGAAGGAGTTCCTGGGGAAAATTTGGCATACATTTTTCTCCCACCCATACAGAGATTAGAATGGGTAAGAGATGAGGCCAAATGAAGGAGCAATATTAAACCTATAAAGGCAAAGCCTGGAGGATGAAACAATTTATACCAAACCCCCTCCTAGATTCTCTTTATACCACATGCACAGCCTAAACTAACTTTTTGCCCTTCCACCTCTGGTTGTGCCATGATAAATTTCACGTCCAATCTTACAGCACAGTGAGGACATTCCTCAGTTTACAATGGAGGTCTCTGGGTCAGAGTTTCAGTTAAATGTGGTAAGGTTAAAACCCAAGTCACTGCAATTTGCAGAGTAAAATGCACAGATGACCTTGTCCAATAGCCCTGGTATACCTGCTTGCATTCAAGTGTGGTTGCCCAGTCTTACTATAATGAACTCAACCTGTGATGCCTAATGATCTTATCAATGTGATGACAATCCTCCAGTTTGTCTGTCCACAGTGAATTGGGACTTGACATAAATATAAGTTGAAATGTCTGGTAAGAGAAAGGGTGATGACTAGATTATGGGTTGCTTATCATTTAAATACCCCTGGCCTTCCACCTCTTTTAACAATAGTGGATGCTTGCTGGTCTCTTAACTGGAAGATCAAATTTTTCATCTGTAACCATCCAGACCTCATCAAAATTTCTACTCCACATGCTTTGGGTTTTAATACAATTTTGAGGGGAAGGGTTTTTCAAATCTGAGAGGCAGAAGAGTGCATACAGCATATCTGTATGGCTTAGAGAGTTTATATAGGCAAATACCCATGTAACCAGGACCAAGGTCAAGAAATAGACCATTGCCAGACTTCCAGAATACAGCTGCAATCCACAGAACAATCACAATCCACACCCTCCCATATGGATATTGTCCTTACCTTTACATTATAATAATCATTTCAGTGTGTTTCTTTATACCCTCACTTTTGTACATCCCTAAAAACCATAGTTTCTATGAATTTATATAAGTCAAATCATACTGCATGTTTCCTTTTATGGTTTGCTTTTTTCACTCTGAACTATATTTGAGCAACTCATCCATGTTGTTCATAGCAGCTATGGGCAGATCCTTTGTCTCTGTTGTTGACAGGCATTCCAGTGTATGCTTATAGCAAAGTGATTATGGTATGATTATACCCTTCTATTCTACAGTGAATGGACATTAGGTTTGTTTCTGGGTTTTGACTATTATTATGAACATTCTCATACACTTCTCATGGGACACACATGTAAAAGGCTCTCCAGGGTACATATCCAAGAATAGATTCATTGGGGAATATGGTATAGATGTCTTCAGCTTTACTAGATGATATGAAATTGTTTTCTATAGTGATTGTGCCAATTGTCAATCCCACCAGCAGCACAGAAAGTTCCTGCTGCTCCACATCTTCACCTATGCCAAGTATTGCCAGAATTTAAATTTTACCAATCCATGAGTGGGCAATACCCTAATCACTCTTCCTAGTCTATGGCACATTTTCATGTTTATTCCAAAAATCCAAAGCCTTTTGGATTTTTTTCTTCTGTAGAAGCCCTGTTCAAATTTAACTCTTTTAATCCGTTTTTTAATTCTGTTTTCCATCTTCTGCTTACTGATTTAATGAGTCTTTTATATATTTTAAATGTGGGCAAAATATTCCCTTACTCTGTTGTTTGTATTTCACTGGCTTTGTGCTGTGTTTTGTGACCAGAAGTCCTTATATAATATAGTCAAATTCATCATTCATTTCCTTATGGCCACTGCTTTTCTGTTTTAAAAATCTTTGCTGTTTTCAGAAAAAAACATGGGCCATGAAAATATTCTCTATCTTATCTTCTAAAATATGTATGGTTTTTCCTTCCACATTCACATCCTAATCAGTCTGCAACTGATGTTTGTATATGGTGTTGCATAGGGTCCTACTTATTTATTTATTTCATGTGGATATCCAATTTTCTCAGTGAACATCTTATTGAAAAGTCTTCCTTTCTACAATTGAATTATAGTGCCATAAATCAATTATGGACACATGTGTGGGTTAGTTTTTATACTCTATTAAGTGCCATGGGCCTGTTTATCTATTTGAAATACTACACTGTCTTAATTACTAAAGATCTGTAGTCAATTGTGAACAGAAAATTCAACCAACAGTTCGTCTGGGGTTCTAATTAGCATTGTGTTGATATTTTAGATTTGACTTCTTAATAATGAATGTTTGACTCATGGTTTGTTTCTCCTTTTAGTAAGATCATTTAAAGTGCCCCCGTAATATTTTTATATGTTCCTCATAAGATGACCTTTTATCCTAGGTACTTCATGTTTTACAAATACAGTCATTTAAGATTTCATTGTCTAAAGTGTCTCTGCTAAATACAATGCAATTGTCTTTTGGATGTTAAATTTTTCTCCTACACACATATGTACTCTTTTATTGATTCTAATCATTTTTCCATAAACCCTGTGATAAACCTTATAAGAATATTCCATATGGACTTTTCTGGGGCTGAAGGAGACTTCCTAAGGAATGACAAACTTAGAATGGGGTCTCCTTTCCAAGGTTGGAGTTGATACTTTCTTTGGAGAAGAACCCACTGGACGATAGAGAAATTCCACTGGTTTGTCAGTATCTGGGCTGGTCTGCAGATCCAGAGCTGGTCTACTGTCACAGGGAAAGCAGGAAGCAGCTCTTCAGAGTGCAGTAGTGTGGACAAACCTTAACTAGTGGCCAGTATGTGGGCATGTAATAGGAGTTGAGGGTCCTAGTTCAATTGGAGACCTAGAGTAGACAATTCCCTGTGCACAGGATAGGCCAAGAGTGGGGGCGGTGGGTTCAGTGTTGGAAAGTTTCCAGTGCTGAAAGGACTACATAAACCTGACTCTGTGTGTGTGTGTGTGTGTGTGTGTGGCTAGGGAGTAAGAGAGCAGAGGTATGCAAATAAGCAGAGGGAAGCAGTGGGTAGATGACTTGAAGCACAGGATGTCCCTATCAAGAGAGCCCCAAAAGCTGATCACTGGGCCATGCAAGGATGGCATGTTTGCTGAGGGACAGTCGCTCTGAGTCAAGGTCTGGGACACAGCATCCCTGAATATCCTCACATCCACACTGCTGAGAACTTAAAAATCATAGAATGGCCACTTATTTCTTCATTGTCCCTTCAGCAAGAAAAAGTAACATTATGATTTTTGGTGTTACTTTGAAAGAGAGGTTCTCACAGAATTGCTCCATTATCTGACAACATACATTGAAGGGTGAATTTTGAACTGAGAGGCAATAAATTGATAACCATCTTCATATCCTTTATCAGGTTGGGGGGGTCTCTTACTCTTTTTAGGTTGTATAAATAGCAGACACCCTATCTTCTGTTGTTGCAGTTGTTAGCTCGCTCACACAAGGGATATTTTTCCACCACCCTGGAGTTTCTGTGGTGAAACAATGATTAAAGCAATAGGCCTGGCCATTTTAGAAATTTAGGGTTTTTGATGGGCCCAGGGTTCCCTGGCCTGAACTTAGTTTTACTGCAAAACCCAGCCTCTGGCACAAAGGTGTGTCATTGGCTTAGTGCACAAAACCCGGGAGACCTGCAGTCTATCCCTTCCCAGGACTTGCCTGCGCCATCTGCAAGGAGAGTTGGTGAGGTGGCATCTTTCACTGAAAGTGTGAAGAGCAATGTTCTCTTTAAGAATAGCCTAGTTTATACCTTAAATGTTGCTCTGTTCTCCTACACCTGAGCTAAATAGGGAGAGAAAATGCTTGGCTTTCATTCAAAGTTATTCCTTATAAAGGCCTATCCTTGGAGGAGCAGGATTGTAGATTCCTATAGATTAGTCATACAATGTGTATGTATTCAACTATATAACAACTTGAGTATTTTAATCACAATTATGTTTAGAATCAAAAATGGGCAAAAAATTGAAGAATATAGCACATAGTTTTATGATTGAACTGGCAACGTGTATTGAGACGGAGAGACCCTTTAGTAAAATAAAAACATTTTTTTCTCTTAGTGTGTTCCATAATCAATACATATAATAAGATACTACCAAATCTTGAGAAAATTACTTCCAGAGGTACTCGTATTTTAGTGATCTCTTCCCAGGACTGCCAAAGTACAGAACATATTCACCTTTTGTATTCAGAAGTACAGGTGACAAATTAACCTACAGCCTTCTAGTCATACACAGGACTTGGCTGGGCTTCCTATATCAGGAGGCACCCTGAGAACTTGAACATAAGGACCTGCATATGAACTGGAAGATTATCTTTTAAAGGCTAGTTCCATCTGCTGTCTGATCCAGCTCAACTCTCTTCGCTTTCACTCTGGCAATGGTGAGACACTAACATGAAATTCAAAATTCATTCACTACCCA